CGCGGCCGAATTGGGATGATTTTTTTTTTTTTTTATGAATAAATTTAACAACGCGGTCGAAATAATTAATGATAAAAAAGAACTTCAAACCTGCGATCTTGAATGGTACTTTATTTTCATTTTATTTTCTCCTGATTATGTATCCCCCCCGACGTTTGTCCCAATCTAAGCTATTTTGTTACCCCGCTTATGACCCCTGTTCCCCTGAATGCGAGTGATTATTATTATTATTATTATTATTATTATTATTATTATTATTATTATTATTATTATTATTATAATATAATTAAGAGTGCGGAGAGCGAGCTGCGGCGATTGGGTATTTTGCGGTGAATGAACCTTCTCATACGGAGCTTTTCTAAGTGATGATTTTTCTAGTCGTCATCAGACCTTACTTAACCGTCACGGTATGGGCTCCGGTCTGGGACCATGACGGTCACCAGTTCGGCGCAGGTACGGTACGGGGATGCGGCTCGTCAGTGTGGGTTCTTGGTGCGGTTCATTGGCCAATGCATTGGTACAATTCATTAGCATGGTTCGCTAGTACTTGGGGGCCGAGTCTCGGCCGGAGGTGCAGTCCTGGATCGGACTACTGCGGATTGTGAGGATGGGACAGCCACTAGGCCAAGGACATCTACGGTACCGGAACTGCATCGGACTGCACTGCTGCCACTGGCCCTGCGTTGACACTGGAACTCCAGCGGGCGGGGACTGCTGGTATGGAAACTACACCAGGTCTGGGTCTGCACCACAAGAGCAGTTGATGAACCTGTTGTTGGTCCTACTGATGCCAGACAAGAGGTCTATTACCGAACCCCGATCTGTAGTCCACGCCAGCAGCTGGTACCGGGCCAGCAGTTGGGACTGGGCCAGCGGTCGGCGCCCTTTCCTTTTCGGGCATGGGCCTGCCCCTGCGGGTGCCAACTCGGCTGGCAGCTATACAAGCAAGGGTTTTGACTTGGGGAAGGGACCGCGCGCATGGCGTACGCCGCCCACAGGGAAGGGAATAAAACGAAACATGGAGGATGCAAGAGGGGGAGATGATTATTAAGGAGATGACGGCGCGCAAGGTGTGTGTCGCCCACCAGGGTGGCACCAACGGGGAACATCGAGCCGGATGTACGCAGCATTCTGGATGGTGTCTGTTAGTGTCCGTTCGTGCGAGTCAGTGGACTGCAGCTGACAGGCTTCAGTTTGTGGAGGTGAGCGGTAAGTAAGTGAGAAAGCAAAAGGCAACGAGCTGGTGAATGCATGGGAAAGTGTGAGAGAAAGAAAGAGAGAGATTGCGCAGTAAGAKAGAGAGAGAGAGTGCGCAGTGAGAGAGAAAGAGACTGCAGACAGAGATAAGAGAGAGAGAGACGCACTGGGTAGTGAGAGAGAGAGAGTGTGCAGTGAGAGAGAAAGAGCGAGAGGTAAAAGAAGTGTGAGAGAGGTAGTGAATGAGAGAAAGAGAGAGAGAGGSCTGCATTAATGCTGTCCATGACGACGAAGTGTTGTCAAGCACCTAATCATGGGCAATAGCCTGACTTTCAAGTGCTCTAAAAGAGGGCTGCAGTAATGCTGTCCGTGATGTCGAAGTCTTGTCAAGCACCCAATCACGAGCTGTAGCCTAGATTTGACGTGCCATGAGAGAGGGCTGCATTACACTACTCTATTGATTGGGGTGACCATTTATTAATTTAATTATTTTAAAAACATATCAGAGACTGCTTCTCAAAATMTGCATYTGTTGTCCCATGACGGTAAGCGTTGTCAAACATTTGGACTGTTRTCAAGCATCAAATCACGATCACCCGATTTTCAAGTGCCCCGAAAGAGGGCYRCATTGCACTACTTGACTGATCGAAGAGGCAATTTATCCATTTAATTATTTTGAAATAATATCAGAATTTGTCCCTTGATGATGAAGTCCCGTCAAACATCCAATCAAAAAATGTAGTCTGACTTTCAAGTGCTCTCGGAAAGGGCTGCATTACTTTGCCSTACCAATTRGRGAGACCATTTATTAATTTAATCATGTTTGAAAACATATCGAAATCGGCTTTCCGAGATCTGCATTTGTTGTCMTGTGACAGCGAAGTGCTATCAARCACCTAATTACGGGCAGTTCCCTGACTKTAAAGTGCCTTGTGAGAGGACCAAATTATACTGCACTACTGGATAGCTGAAAAGGGCATATGCTGATTTGTCTACTTTGAAAATATTTCAGACCACCTGCCTGCTGGTGCGACCAGGTTCGTTCAAGGGGAAACCAGCCTGATGATGAAGTAGTGGGAACAAATTTTTATTGATTTTTTTTTTATTAGAAAAATTTATTTTACCTTTTATTTATTTTACTATAAATTGGAGCGAAGATCATGAACGTCTATCGAGAGTGAAGTTGATCAGGAGAATTTTTTCGAAATTTTAAGATAATTTTCGGGGGAAACCGATGACGGATGCGATCAGGAGGCGCACCAACAGCCCCATTAATTTGATTAAAAGTACCGAATTTTATAATCTTTTTTTTTTTTTTTTTTAATTAAAAGGGTCGATAAAAACAAATCTGATCCATTGGAAGATTTTGCTATACACCCAAATAAAATTGTGCCAAGTCCCATTGCGTGAAAACGTTCAGCGGTGTGCGTGCAAGCGAGCGCGAGAATGAGAACCCTAATGGCTTGAGACCCTACTTAGTTGATATAATTTAATTATAGTTTTATGCTTCTTTTAATTCTAACTTCAGAACCCAGCGACTTTGACCGGTAAATATCCAGACCAAAGTTTGGCGGTTTACTTGTCTGAAAGTTTTGAGACCCCTCTCGCGAGTGAAACCGACCGAGGAAAACTCGGATATGGTAATTTAACTGAATCTGGTAAATTAAAATCTATAAATAAAAATATTATTATGTTTTATGACTGAAAATTTGAGTCATTTTCCGTGGCGCGTGTCGGGTGAGATTTTGTTCGGAAATTATTTTTCGAAATTTTGAGACCTTCCCCACGCAAAACCGACATACCGAACTCTCGAAAAAGAATAKAACGTGGCAAATAATTTAGGAATTTAACTAGAAAATTCCCTTYAATTTTTTAAATATATCGAATTAAATACTAAAAATTAAAAATCAAATTAATTMAAATTYGTTTTATACGTTTGATCGGCTAATAAATCAACTTCTTTGATAACGCCCAGATTGGAGGAAGTTTCTATTTTTCCTCAAATAAAGCATGTGCCTTGTATTCAAATATTTTGTGAATAAGGTCTGTAGGTTCTATTTAAAACCGAATTTCGACACTCTTTTCTATTTAAATAAGTTTAGACTTTGTTTTCTTGCTGACCCCGTGCTGATTAGCCTGTTAATTAGCCTAAATATTATAATAATTCGTTTTCTTGCTTTAATTAAATTACCGAAAATTGAGGCAAAATTTTGGACTGCTCACCGGGAGGAAAGTTGTTCGAATTTAGGCTGCCAGCTGTCCGATTGGGAAACGTCTCCCTCGGACGTCTCCGGGAGACGGTCAGGGGGGAGTTGTCTGGAAAATCGGACAACTATATTTTTGACAAAAAAAAACGAAAAAAAAAAGGCGGGGGGGTATGCGCACCAGTAGGGGAACCCCCCAAAAAAAAATTCAGGCTGTTTAGAGTAAAACCGAAAAAAAAATTCATATTGGGTGAGGGAGGTGTGATGGTGGGGTGTTGGGGGGGGGGGCGATTGCTTGGGGAGTTGAATTCGACGACCTGCGGCTGCAGTCAGCAAATGCTACACATGCAGTGACTGCAGCTGCTCCGTCTGATGCAGTGAGTTGACCATCCGCGCCGGCAGATGCAGCAGCTACAGTGACAGCGGCATCACACACGCACACATTTTATCCACACACAAACACACACAGTGACATGCACGTGAGCACACATGCACACAGTTCCACACAGAAACACAAACACACATGCACACGAGCTATATCAATAAACGCATTCATTGAACTAAGTTGCAGATCGCTGATACGGATTCAAGCTGGACGAGGGAATGAGACAGAAACAGAAGCTACGCACTACCAGCACAGCAAATGGAGTACAACAACAATTTTTTTTTTTATTTTTTTTTTTTTCTCTCTCTCTCTCTCTCTCTCTCTCTCTCTCTCTCTCTGCCGCTATGGCTGCAACCAATGCTCCACTCTCACTCAACAAATGCATATTGCATCCACCTCTTGAGACCCGTTATGCCACAACTCCCCATGGACGCAGAAGAATGAACTCGACGACACAACATCCCTCTAATCTGCCATGTCGCCAGTGCCATCGGAGTTGTTATCATCTCCTCCCTCAGCCTGACCCCTCTGACGAGTCTCGTGCGTGTAGTCACTGTCAGACATCTCATCCGATGTGTTGYCGTGATCATCACCAYCAGGATCATCGTCCACCACACGATAAKAGGTTTTCTGCCTCTCTCTGTCGACGGCTTGAGATCTAGTACGGATACCGCCCGAGACACTGTCGCCTGCAGYGATCCCCTCCCCAAGATCAACGGTCTCTGCATCAGCATCCGCAAGTGCACTCAGTGCCCATGATTGTTGCTGCTTGCCTCGTCCTCTGCCCGAGCCACGTGGGCGGCCACGTGCTCGACCAGTGCCTGCTCAGGGGAGTGGGGGGGGTGGATCCTCGTCTCCGTCRTCCTCCCTCTGTCTCCTCTTCCTGCCGGCACGACTCATCTTGACATTATCGCGGATGGCTGATGGTCGTCGTGCCGGAAGMGGGGGTATCCCAAMTGGACTGCGCATCGCAGGAAGAGACTCCTGGACAATGACGGTCGTACTGACGTGGGAAGACTAGAGCCCCCACTGAGCGTGGATGAGTGGGGCGAATGGATGGGTCCAGGTCCAGGCCGTGGCGGTATGCCTGCTGGACTGGTCGAGGGTACGCGACTCATCAATAACAAGCTGCGTCCCCCTCCCTGTGTCGCCTGGCTGGAGCYGTGGTCGACACCACCCATGACTCCTCTAGATGCTCCCTTYTGAGCTGCCACGCGATGTGGTGACGACATGCCACGTAAACCAAGATCCGGCCCCTGCGAGGAGTGTGCGGCACGTGGGGGTAACGGGGGAATCCCGTAGAACGGAGCTCCGGTGAGTGCGATGTCTCGTGCACTACTCTCCTGYGGGGGTTCCCTATCCCTATCCTTTATTCTCTCCTCCACCATCACACCGCCCTCATCTCCGACGACACTCCCGTCAATCCTCTCGCCCACTCTCTCGCGAACGATGTTTGATCTCCCCTGGTCCACGTGGTGCTCCACACTAATCCACCCTAACTTCCACCCTCTGCTCCACCCTCTGCTCCACCCTCTGCTCCACCCTAGGATCTACACCTAAGGCAGCACATAGATGTACCTTTTGCTCCGCCCTTTGCTCCACCATCGCGGCCAAACCCACCCCCACATGCTGCTCTGCAGTCTGCACGACCATGGGACGAATGCCCTCCCTGTCTGGCGGGTGTGCTCTCTCATCCAATCTCCGATCTGCGCTATGATCCACCCTCTCCTTAACCCTCTGGCCCGTCAAGTCCTGTACTACATCATCCACCCTCTGATCCACTGTCTGCACGACAGTCTGTCTGACCCCCGGACGCTCTGCACGCTGCTCTACCACATGCTCCACCCTATCCCTGAGCTGACCTATCACCCATGCTATYCTGTAGCCTCTGCTCTGCCCYGTGCACGGCACCATGGTCCACGACARCCTTTGAAGACCCGTTAGTCCTGCGCATGTTGTCGGTGCAAGCAAGGGACCTTGTCGTGGCAGAAGCATGTGCCTCCAGRCATATGGAATCGACGGTGACTGGCYCCGCATGATGAGAAGACTCTGGACGAATGAGGCACTGTGCTGTCGCGGCGCCTGATGACCGGATCTCTGTCGCCCGTGGATGTGCAGTTGACGCAAGGATGTCCTCGTRGCAGCGCTGAATGTCCTCTTCCTCTGCATCGTCTCTCGCCAATAGACCCTCCACATCAACGTGACCTCCCGCCCTGCTTCGAAGGGTCCTCACCGTCTGGAAACTGCCATCCACGTAGGAGTCGAAGTCTGTGTGAGGGTCCAATGTCGCCCACTCATCCATAATATCGTGCTGGTCCTCTGCGACCGCCTTCCGTTTGCCCCTATCCGCCTGTGCACGCTCCACTGTTTCGCAGTGCATCCATACCGCATCTTGCCATGGGGACTCATCATCTGCCACATGATCATCCGCCGATACAGATGTTCTCCGGTTACGACCATCCTTGCGACGGTTAACCTGATCCATGTGCTCCCACTCCTCCTCGCCCATGTCTGCGGGCATGACATCTGCGTCGTCGATCTCCTCCGCGGGGTCCTCCACCATATCCGCCCACACGTCGATATAACGACTATCCGGCTGCCTGCTCGCATTGAGAAGTTGCATGTTCTAGTGAATGAACACGAGCTTCTCAACACTCTGCGCAGAAAGGTTGTTGCGCCTCTTCGTGTGTATGAAGTCAAGGGTCGCCCAATTGTCTCGCAAGGAGTCGCTGTGAACCACATGCCAAGCATCTTCTTCGCGATGGCTTGCAACTTTGGAAAACGGCCGCCGTGAAGCTCCCACCACAACGTTGGGTGCATGATCTTCAATTTTGCATCCCGAGTGGCGAACTGATCCCACCAGTGAGGTCCATGCTCCGGCCAGTAATGCGGATCGTCACAATGGAAAGTCCACAAAGCCTCCCAAAGTGTGTGCATCTCATCYGCCCCCCAGTCCCCACCCAAGGTGCGTGCAAAGTGGTCGAGTGCGCTCTGCACAACGGGGGCCGAACGATCCCGCAACRAAGTCACGTCACGYCGACGAGGGTCTAATAAATAAGCTGCAGCATGGGCAGACGCATCATCGCGCACCTGTCCGCCACAATCTCCATGRCAGTCGCCCTCTCACGCTCCTCCAACTGCAGAGCATCAATCTCCCTCTCAAGGATTGACTGCAAATCCCACAAACCAGGCGGTGACGACCCGTCACGGTCCATGTCCCTAAGGAAATTGTAACACGGCTCTATGACGTCCATCACTCTCTTCACCTGCTGCCACCATGAATCAGAYCTGCACAGTCTGCGGACCTCCGGCTCCTCAGTCCGTTCATCGCCGGCCCATCRTGCACGTCTCCACTTATCCGATGACACCACCTCGTCAAGCACGAACCTCTGTGCCCACAACCTCTCCAACATCATGAAAGTAGTCCTGAACCGAGTATCCGCCGGTCATGTGAGGTCCARTGCATGCTCCGTGCCCCGATGCAGYGTGAGCGCCCTCTGTTTGTTTCTCATGAACTTCACCAACTTGTGTGYCTGCTTCATGATGAATCTAGCCCAAGGTTGTGCAGCAATGTCCCTCAGCAGCAAGCTCAGGCAATGTGTTGCGCACGGGATCCAAGGTATGCGTGCAATGGCGGGGTCGGGGKGGGACTGCAGAACATTGACCGCCACCTTCATGACCTTCGCATTGTCAGTGCAAATCGCATTCACATTGTCGACTCCAATGTCATCTCGTATGACACTCTCCCATATGTCCGCTAAACTGACGCCTGTCTTGTCCCTGTCTGACATATCAATGGTACGAATGAGTACCGGTCCAGACTGCCCTACTGCTATGAAGTTCATGATGGCCTTGTTCCTCTGGTCCGTCGCCCCGTCCGTCATCAACGTGCATCCGGTGTCCACCCACTTTGCCTTGTACTCCCTCGTATGTCAGCAGTCATGGCACTGCCACAATGGATGGACGCAGGAGTGTGACAATGTAATCCCAGTAATCCTACSTCTCCTTCAACCGCAGCCAGTTGAAGGAAACGCCGGCTCGATACGTGGCAAGTGCCAAGATATGATCGAGATCCTTTTGCACCTTGTTCCCAATGAAAGGATCCAAGGTCGACTGTCTCACTCTCAACGTCATATTTGTGGATRCAACCTGCCTGCCAGGAGTCGTTGTCGCCCCTCCCCCARCAGTTGGAGCCGTCATACYGACGAGTGACCGCAAGCGGTCGCGCCCATCATCTGAATCACGTGTACGCACTGGCAGCTCCTCGGCACGATCATCTGCATCACCTCTGCCCTGCTCTGTGGCAGGGACCTGTACCTGTATTACAGGCTCATCCGGCAGGACACCACCCTCACCTCCGTACATGTCATCCATAGCCATCGCCCCCTCCAACGCATGCGCATGCTCCGCGGCCAATCTTTGTGAAAGAGGGYTCTTAAGCGTCGCCCCTGCCCGCTGCAATCGCCACAAGATCTCGTCGGTTCGTCATGGGCAGTGTGCCTTTTGTTTTGTGAAGTGCTCGACTYCTCTGGATCTGGAACCGGGAAACACCTCGTCGCATAGGCGACACCGCATCAAGAAGTTGCCGCCACCAACTAAACCGTGGTCCTGACCCCTCTCAGTCCACTCTCACACAACATGCAAACGCTTCAAGTCCGCTTGTTTCCATTCTGGCAGAGGATCGAAGGTGGGATAGGTGGTGCCCAAACGACGTCTACTCGCCGCAGCCATCGTGCACGGGATACTGACGTGAGAGGAAAGACAATGACAGATCCGGATGTGGCGTGCTGATGGACGAAGTCACGAAAGTAGTGGAACACGATGTTGTTGTTCCACACCAGTTACCRGCTCAAGCATGCAGCAGGTGTACAAGCTGCATTTACGAACGAAGAAAAGCAATGCRTTAGAAACTAAKAGCCTGATGCAAAGAAGTAGTAGAACAAACTAAGAGCGTGATGCATATTCACGTAACAACAAACGACGCTCAAGAAGGCGTCGACAAAGAAGTAGTAGAAGTCTTCTCTATCTATCTATCAATCAATCAATCAATCAATCAATCAATCAATCAATCAATCAATCAGTCAGTC